TGGCCATCCCCCTGGGGGGGGATTTCTCACTTTCTGTCTCTCTGTCTCTCTCTTTCTTTCCAGAGAGTGCACACATCCTATAGCAAAAACCTCTCAAAAAAAAAAAAAAGATTTACTTACAACTGGGGAGACCAGCAGTCAGCTTAATGGCTATGTCGCTGGACTCCCATGTAGTCAACCCCAGTTTGAGTCCCGGACCCGGTGGCTTAAACTTACACTGGGCGCATGTGCATGCATGCCCAAGATCCCAAGAGGAGAATGGAGGAAAAAGGATTGCAGTATGGCCATCCCCCTGGGGGGGGATTTCTCACTTTCTGTCTCTCTGTCTCTCTCTTTCTTTCCAGAGAGTGCACACATCCTATAGCAAAAACCTCTCAAAAAAAAAAAAAAGATTTACTTACAACTGGGGAGACCAGCAGTCAGCTTAATGGCTATGTCGCTGGACTCCCATGTAGTCAACCCCAGTTTGAGTCCCGGACCCGGTGGCTTAAACTTACACTGGGCGCATGTGCATGCATGCCCAAGATCCCAAGAGGAGAATGGAGGAAAAAGGATTGCAGTATGGCCATCCCCCTGGGGGGGGATTTCTCACTTTCTGTCTCTCTGTCTCTCTCTTTCTTTCCAGAGAGTGCACACATCCTATAGCAAAAACCTCTCAAAAAAAAAAAAAAGATTTACTTACAACTGGGGAGACCAGCAGTCAGCTTAATGGCTATGTCGCTGGACTCCCATGTAGTCAACCCCAGTTTGAGTCCCGGACCCGGTGGCTTAAACTTACACTGGGCGCATGTGCATGCATGCCCAAGATCCCAAGAGGAGAATGGAGGAAAAAGGATTGCAGTATGGCCATCCCCCTGGGGGGGGATTTCTCACTTTCTGTCTCTCTGTCTCTCTCTTTCTTTCCAGAGAGTGCACACATCCTATAGCAAAAACCTCTCAAAAAAAAAAAAAAGATTTACTTACAACTGGGGAGACCAGCAGTCAGCTTAATGGCTATGTCGCTGGACTCCCATGTAGTCAACCCCAGTTTGAGTCCCGGACCCGGTGGCTTAAACTTACACTGGGCGCATGTGCATGCATGCCCAAGATCCCAAGAGGAGAATGGAGGAAAAAGGATTGCAGTATGGCCATCCCCCTGGGGGGGGATTTCTCACTTTCTGTCTCTCTGTCTCTCTCTTTCTTTCCAGAGAGTGCACACATCCTATAGCAAAAACCTCTCAAAAAAAAAAAAAAGATTTACTTACAACTGGGGAGACCAGCAGTCAGCTTAATGGCTATGTCGCTGGACTCCCATGTAGTCAACCCCAGTTTGAGTCCCGGACCCGGTGGCTTAAACTTACACTGGGCGCATGTGCATGCATGCCCAAGATCCCAAGAGGAGAATGGAGGAAAAAGGATTGCAGTATGGCCATCCCCCTGGGGGGGGATTTCTCACTTTCTGTCTCTCTGTCTCTCTCTTTCTTTCCAGAGAGTGCACACATCCTATAGCAAAAACCTCTCAAAAAAAAAAAAAAGATTTACTTACAACTGGGGAAGCAGGGGTCAGGGAAGACTTCTCTGAAGAAGCAGTGTTTAAGCTGGGGTGTGGAGGCAATCAGATGATATGTGATGGGGGGAGGGGATCCCAGCTTACATCTGAACAACCAAGGAGGAGCACCATTGTCCAGGGCTGCTCCATTCCAGGCAGGTTCCTTTGCTCATCTGGCTTCCCTCAGTTTCCTTTCCTCCTCACAGGATGGTCTTGAGCATTATCTGTAGTGTAGTAGAATGATCCTCCCACTCCCTACGATGGTGTTCAGCTCCATTACGGGGACAGGGTGGCATCAAACTGTGGAGGGCTGCACCTGTAGGGACTCCATTTCTCCTGCTGTCCTGAGTCTCAGTGCCTTCTGTAAAATGAGGATGGTAGGTCCTGCCTTACCTGCCCCTTGAGGCTCTTGTGGAAATTTCTGTGTGAAAGTGACGTGTAGGTATCAGCCTAATGGTTGGAAGTACATGCTCCAGAGTGAATTCCCAGGCTTAGACCCCACCTGTTTCCAGTTGTGTGACTTCAGAAGGGTTCTACAACCTCTCTGCACTCAGTTTGTCCTGTGTGACAGGGGACAATAATGATGCCCTCCACCTAGGGTTCCTGTCAGTATTACGGAGAATAAGATAGCTCTACCTAGATTCCCTCTTCAACTGATGTGCCCATCCGCAGCTGTGGGCCACAGAGGCAGTGGACAGCTCACGGCTCTGCTTCCCCCTGGGCCTGTGGTTGGCAGCAAGGAGCTGTAGTTGATGACTACAGATGTTTGGGTATAAAGGCCAGGCCCTGTCCTCCATCTAACACTTAGAAAAGCTGTCTTAACTCCAGAGCCCCTCATAAGGTGGGTTGCAGCTACAATGCCACACGGGGTCAGCTGCTGCTTCCTCACTCATCCTGCCCATCTCACTTCCTCACAGGCTAATCTCTCCAGAGCGCTCCCCAAAAACCATCTGCAATTCTTCACCTCAGGATTTCTTCCCTATTTCTTCCCTAAGTGTGAATATTTTAGAACAGTGTTATTCAAACTTGAGTGGGCCTCACAATCACCCAGAGGGCTTGTTCAAACACAAATTGCTGCACTCCACCCTGAGAGTTTCTGATTCAGATGGCCTAGGTGGGCCAGAGAACCTGCATTTCTAACCAGCTCCCATATGATGCTGACGCTCTGTGTCAGAATCACTGTTTCAGAATCACACGTGCTCATTGTGTATGATCTAAACAGCGATACTGATGATATTAAAGAGCCAGGGTTTCTTAGCAGAATGGCTCATTCCAGGGTAGGATGGGAAACGTACGATGAAGCCCAGAGGATTTTCTTATACCTTCTATCAGAAAATAAGGGAGCCATCAGTATTCTGGTCATGTCCAAAGGGCTCAGCAGCCCATTTGAGAAGACTCTTCTTGGCCAAAGATGGGCTTATTTGGGAACCAGGAAGAATAACTGCATTGAACTAAAACATGTTAATTAAGTTAAAAATAAATGTGTTCATAATAAAAACAACAAATATTAATAATCGGTCACCTTTGGAGGATGTGAGGGGACCAGCTCATTCTTAGGAATGATACATAAAGAAGCAAGACCTTACTCTTCCTTTCCTGTGCTTCAGGATAAACAAATAGTAGATTTAGTTAAGTTTTTCTGGGCAGAAATATTCCAGCCAGTTAAAGACAGAATGATAGGATATCACCATTTCTCAGACTTCTGATGTAATAAAGGATTTAGGCATTAGTTATCCATGGCCACCAACGTCACAGAAGGAAAGATAGCTGGCTGTCACGTGTCCCCTAAGGGATGCACACACACCACCCAGAAAGAGGTTACTAGATTATCTTGTTGGATTAGGTTAAGTCTCTAGATCTAACCATCAGTTTATGGGAACTAAAAAGGGATGGTCAGAGGAACATGTTGAAAGACACCACAGAGATGCAAGCAGCGAGATGCAGACTACAGGAAATCCTGTGGGACAAATGGCCGAGTTTCTTCAACAAATAAATTATAAGAAAAAAGAAGAAGAACAATTTATAGATACAAAGAGACTTAGGAGACCCATTAGCTAAATGCATTAGTAGACATTGTTTGATCCTGATTTAAACAACCCAACTATAAAAAGGCATACAACCAGGGAAATTTGAACACCCACCAGATATTGGATGATGTTGAGGAATTGTGTTAATTCCTTTGGATGTTATAGAGAAGTTGGAGGCCCACAGGGACAGGGTCTTCTACTTCCAAGCTTATTGCACGGCTGGTGGTGAGCAGGCCCCGGGATGCGGGAGGGAGGGGCAGAGCCAGTGAAGGTCAGCCTTCTCTTCCAGTCTCCGAGAAGTCGTTTCTCCTGTATTGGATAGGAATGTGGCAAGGGTGGTGTATGATAGAAATAAACAACTGTTTCTTCATCTACTAATCACACAGTCAACACAGAATACTTCGGTGACCACATGTTGGGGGAGGGCAGTTCTTCCCACCAAACAATCCTCAAAGACTACCTGTTCTATAATTCAGTTCATTCCAATGCTATCTACCAGGAATTTCAAGTTCAAGCCCATAGAGGAGGGCTCAGTCTCACAAGACTGCCTTCTGTGTCAGATGCTAATCACAAGGCCAGGCCTCCAGTACTTCTTACCGACTGGCTATAAATTGGATGTTCCCATCATTCCCTCCGTGCATTGAACTGTTGACTAGATTGGGACAGAGAACTCAGGGGAACACGTTTAACGGTTTGTTATGAAGGCTATTACAAAGGATGCAGTGAGCAGCCAGATGAGGAACTATATAGGGCATGGTGTGTGAGAAGGGGCATGGAGCTTCCCTGCCATGTCCAGGCCAACCATGCTCCCAGCACCCGGAAGCTCTGCACAGTTCAGGGATTTTAATGAAGGCTTCATCACACACAGATAGGATCAGTTATTACCCAGTCTCTAGTCTCTCTCCCTTTCTTAAAGGACAGGGGCTGGGAGTGGGCTTCTAGTCATGGTTTGGACTTTCTAGTGACCTACCACCCTCCTGGAGCCTACCAAGATTCACCTCATTAGAACAGAAGGCACCCCTATCACCCAGGAAATTTAAGGGATTTAGAAACCATGTTACAAGCTGGAGTCAAAGACCCATTAGAACATAAGATTCTACTGGCACTTCTGTTGCTCAGAAAATTACAAGGATTTCAGATGCTCTGTGCCAGGAACCTGGGGCAAAGGCCAAATTGTGGAGGTCACAATATCACAGGTGGGGAGGTGGCCAAAGAGTTACTGACAGGCTGCCCTCCTCGTGGAATCATGACTTTGTCCAAAGTCAGGGATTGGAGACAGGCTTCAGGTTGCCAAGTAGAAGGAATCTCTGATGTGACCAGATCTCGGAGTCTTTTACCCATTCCTTAAAGGCTGAAGAGGAAGCAGATTTGCAGTTGGCCAACCCTGTGACTGAGTCCTCAGGTGAGAGCTGACCCTGTCCTCTGTCCCTTGTGTCTCCCTCTAGCTGCAACAGCAAACGCTACCTGGAGACACTCCCCAACACAAGCATCATCATCCCCTTCCACAACGAGGGCTGGTCCTCCCTCCTGCGCACCGTCCACAGCGTACT